GATTCTGATCAGCACTGGCCAACACTCACAGCTGATGATGGACATAGACAAATGGAAGGCCTCCGGTCCTTCACCAAACACACATGCACACGCATTCATGCACATTCGCGTATACTCCTATGCATAATAACTGAAATGCATACAGGAAAATTAGCCATACAGTTCCTGCATACAGCTTCTTCACCAAGAATATCAACTCATCCCTAAGGTACTGCACGAACCACCGACAACGGACAACAAACTCTCTGCATACTCCTGCCTCACTCTCTCCTGTCTCCCTCTCTCCATTGGTTTCTTCTCACTTTCGTAGTCTTCAGACCTATGAATGAAAAACTGAGTGAGCCTAAAAGCAAATTCAATGCATTCTTCCCCTTTTTTGTACCATGTCCCTGTATGATGTTGGAAAATCGATAGGGATTCTAGACTGAGGGGCTAGTTATTTAAGCCGCGAGAAATCTTAAGGCTGAGCTTAGAGGAGCCGCATCATTAGGAGACAAAACTAGAAGGGAAAGTGACAGGTGGCGAAGAATCGGCAAACGACAGAGGGACTCTGACATCCTGGCTTTCCACTCCTCAGACTGGAATTTCACAATCATTTCTAACCTAAAAGCAACTCTGAACCCAGCTGCCAGCACCAGCATGGATCCCCTCTGCTGGGTTCTTTTTACCGCCACGTACACCCTACCGCCAGCTTCTCTAGTTCCTGAGTTAGCTGCCTCCACAAGTCCCTACCAACGGACAATGGACAACCACCTGTCTGCAAACCGCCAGCCCGTTCTCTCCCCCGTTTTTCCCTCTCGGTCATTTCTCCTCTCTGAGCTCCCCCGGCCCTCACACTTTTACGTGCCTGTCTCACATACAACTTGCGTGTCACGGAGACAGTGGAAAGCACTCCAGGCAAGCCCTGTGCAACGTGTGCACCATACCAGGCACACATTATTAGACCTTCAAACCCTGGATTGACTTAGGCGTGGTTCCCAAAGCCAGCCCTCATTCCCACAAAATAAAATAAGTGCTGGGGGATCATTGAAGGGTGTGGTAGGTACTCCCTGTGCCAGCTAGCACACACTCTCCCAGGAGGCTCCGTGGCAGCACGCTCCGCTGCTGGGACAGGAACACGGGCTGAGGACACGGGGCAGGATGGCACACCAGCAGACAGAATCCTCGGCATGCCACGTCAGTGCCCCACTCCGATCAACCAAACAGTGTTAGGCCAGCCCTCCCAGACCACCGAGATTAGTGCTGTTCTGACACGTTATCTGGCAGTGACCAGCTTTCCTCTGGAACCCATTCCCCAGCTCCCAAACGAAAGTCTCAGGCCTGAGGTTTCTAGGTGACAGGAATGCAGGCCGATGTGGAGCACCGACTCAGAATCATCAGCTACACTGCTACCCACAGAAAGGGGGGCAAAACAGAAACAAATGGTCATTACTGAGCCAGCAGAAACCCTAGGTTCTGAAATCTGTCTGCCTCGATAGCAAACAATTTCTCCATCATAGTTCAGTTCTCTGAGGTGGGTATGGGACCCTTTCTAATTTTTTTTGCTGTGAAATATACCATGTAAACAAAAGAATACATTAACTATACATCTGTTTAAAGGAATACAATAAGATGAACCCACCACTACCCAGGCTAAGAATTAAGATCCCCAGCATCACTAAGTTTCTGTGGGTTTTTCCCTCATTATACCCATCCCCACCTCCCCAATGATGACCATTCTTCTGAATTCAAGGTTCATTACTCCCTTCAATTTTTTATGGTTTTATTACTTACAAAGGTATGATTCAACTTTATATTTTCTAACTTTATATAAATTACATCATACTGTATATTTGTTTTCTGTGACCTGCTACTCTTGTTCAATGTTATGTTTCTGAGATTCTACCATGATAATGCAACAGTCTTGCACTCATTTTTACTATGGGACAGTAGTTCATTATAGGACTATACAGCAGTTTATGATGTTAACTCTTTCTTTAATCAGACAGACCCATAGACTATGTACGAATGCGGTCTGTCTGCAAATAAATCTATGCCCTGTGAATTTTTGGTTTAACCACGCTGGCTTCCATGCGGCAGACCAGATGATAAAATAACTGGAGCTGTTTTACTCAATTATTCTTTTTGTTGTTGCTAATCCTCAACCGAGCATATTTTTTTCATTGAGTGGAAGGGGGGAGAATGAGAGAAACATCGATGTGAGGACACAAGCGATTGGTTGCCTCCCGCACATGCCCCAACCAGGGCCAGGGATGGAGCCTGCAACTGAAGCACCTGCCTTTGACAGGAATCCTGGGATCCTTTAGTCCGTGGGCTGACACTCTAACCACTAAGTAAAGCTGCCTAGGGCTCATTCTATTATTCTTAAAGACTGAGCAAGATCTCACTGAGAGATGGAGCTCTGAGGCACTGGTCGACAAGCAAAGGTGCCTTTGCTAGATGAACTTGGATACACGAACCCCTAATGTAAATCCCTTACTCAGTTCCAGTTCCATGGCTTAATAAGGCAGGGGGGGAGAGGAGAGGAAAACACTGCTTTGACATTGCAATCTTCACCTTCACGGCACATCAGAGCACCTTTGATCATGGTGAATAGCACCCAAGTCCAAGAAAAACCTACCTTTCAGACAGCGAAAGCCAAATATTTAGTCTGGGAGGTAGCAGACAGAAGCCCATCATTCTCTCTGCCCTGGCAAACCAAAGACAGCAGAGGATTGCCCTTGAACCCTGAAGGTTTGACTCATCACCCTCTTCACTAATGTGAATGCATCAGCAATGCCTCACTTCCCGGGTTGGGGGGAGGGCGAGAGGGGTGCAATAGTCTCCAGAGAAACCCCCACCACTGTCACTGCACTCCAGTGTGCAAGGCGCTCAGACTCACCCACCCCATCTCAGTTCATTCCTGCAAAAACCCCATGAGGCAGGTAACAGCCCCCTTTTACACCTGAAAAAAACTGATGCACAAAGAGGTTTGGTGACCGGCCCAATACCCACAGCAAGTTGTACTGGGAGGACTCCCATCAAGTCACCTTCCCTGCTATCTACAGCCTGTGTGTGCACACCGACCAGCAGCAATGGGAAAAGGGGTTCTTAGGGACACAGAAGATACTGCCCACGGGTGATACTTCCAAAAGCGTTTGCTGCTGAATGGGGAGCAGATTCCACGTGAACACAGATAGGTGGCTGAGGCTGCAGTGGCCAGGCGGATGGAGGGGACTCCCATGCAGCTTATGACAGCTGGAAGGCGCTTTGCCAACCAGTAATGAACTAGCATTGACTGTCTATCACCTGTCATTGCAAAGATGCATCTGGCTGGCTGTTGAAGTCTGCCTGCTGTTTTAATAGTCACCGGCCCTCCACACAAACAACAACAAAGAAGGATTAGCAGGAGACAGCGTATGAATTTAAGGGTCCCACAACTGGAGACCTTCAGAGAGCAATACACAGGGCAAGAACTTAAGTGCAAACTTGTTAAGAGCTGGACTCTGGCCGAAACCAGTTTGGCTCAGTGGCTAGAGCGTCGGTCTGTGGACTGAAAGGTCCCAGGTTTGATTCCGGTCAAGGGCATGTACATTGGTTGTGGGCACATCCCCAGTAGGGGGTGTGCAGGAGGCAACTGGTCGATGTTTCTCTCTCATCGACATTTCTAGCTCTCTATCCCTCTCATCTCCCTTCCTCTCTGTGGAAAATCAATAAAATTTATATTAAAAAGAGAGAGAGAGAGAGAGAGAGAGAGAGAGAGCGCGCTGGACTCTGCCTTCCGGCTCCAAATAAGTCTATCAGTTGTTTGACACAAAATGTCCAAGTCAGCTGAAAGGCCAGAGGGGCGGTGACCAGTGCCAAAGCTAAGAAGCCGTCAGTGTGAAAGGGTGAAACGCTGAGGGGTTCTCTTGGCCAACACTCGGCACTGACTCCCCTGTTTTCTCTAGTTCTGGGTGCCCATCACTCCTTGGTGGACACAGCCGTGCCAGTTACACTGTTGGTCCTTAACGCTGTGAGACTTGACTGCTTATCCGACCTGTAGGTCCCCTAGTGAGTCACAGAGAGAGGGAACTGGTCTTTAGAGCGTGGGGGATGCCACGGCAGATGCTTGGAGAAAAGCAGACGGGGAAACAGTACCCTGGGTTCTAATGACGCGACAGGCAGAAGCCCCAGACGCCCAACCCTCTCCTGCTCCCGGACCCGCCAGGCACTGAAACCTCACAAATGCTCAAAACCACCCAGCCCACGGAGGCTGGTGGCTGTCCTCAGAGGAATCTTTCCAGATGCGGTGGGTACCGTGGCTGAAATAACGTTTCTCCCAGCATTCCCCCCCCCGCCATCCTGGAGCTCACTGGGGAAGATTTTGCCAGTTATTTGCCTACTCTCCACAGATTAACAAGGACGTACTGTGGTTCTTCTCCTTAAAAATGCCTGGCGATTTGGTACATTGTAATAAACAGCCCCCCTCTCCGTCTCCCGAACACACTTAAAAACGATTGTTCTGCCTAGGAACTCAGTTGCCGTGAAAATGAGTTTCCATTAACCCAGGTGTAAGATGGAAGTGTCTATAAATAAAATTTAAGTCATCCCTGATATGTGTAACAAGTAAAATGTAACTCAGACTCGAAGGACGAAGGGAGGTCTTAACCAACCCCCCGGAAGAGAAACAGAAAATGTCACATTTCAAAGCAGCATTGCTCTACGCGTCTCTGTGTGTATCTTGGAGGGGAACTGTGGCCGCTGTACCCAATGTACAAAAAGCAGTCAGGTTCTGTTCACCAGTTTCCCTTGTCCAAATGACCACTGGCCAGTTCCAAACTTCGACAAGCGACCCCTGACCCTTCCCGGAACCCTGATTTCTGTCCCCCCCTCTGGGCCTCCTTAACACATGGGGTCAGTTACAAGCTTTCTGGAAATGTCCACCGGTTTCTAACATAAATGGTTCCTTGCCACTTGGCAGCGTGTTTGCAATGGCCCTCCGCCTCAACCAGCCTCCTCCCCGTCCACAGGGGTCTTACCGGGATCTCCCTCCGAAGCAGTTGGTGCTGGGGGACTGGTGCCGGCCCTCTGCGGTGACGGCGGTCCCGCTGGATTCCCTCGAAGGTGGCTGCGATCCTGGAGAGGGGATCCAGCACAAGGGAAGACGGAAACGTTGAGAAGCTCAGCCCTCGTTTGAGATGTGGCTACAGCCCAGAGCTCTCCTGTGTGTGACAGTTACCCATCCCGCGGGACCCAGCGAGGCGAGCAAGCTACGGCCGCCAGCACCAGAAGGAAGAGGGGCAGCGCGTGAGATCTGATCAGGGCCACGAAACACAGGGGCTCGAACCTGGGAAACAGCCCTTGTTCTCCAAGGCCTTCAAGAATGTCTCAGGCACTTACAAGCACGTTGCCTTACTCAGCACGTGCGCTTCGGCCATCCACGTGAGACAGAACAGATGCTGACCGTGCAAAGTGGGGGCAGGGAATGGGGGCATTTCTCCATGTCACAACCAGAGGGCTTTTCTTTTTTTTTTTTTTTAAATATATTTTTATTGATTTTAGAGAGGAAGGGAGAGGGAGAGAGAGATAGAAAAACATCAATGATGAGAGAGAATCATCGATCAGCAGCCTCCTGCTCACCCCCAACTGGGGATTGATCCCGCAATCTGGGCATGTGCCCTGACCGGGAATCGAACCGTGACTTCCTGGTTCATAGGTCAACGCTCAACCACTGAGCCATGCTGGCTTGGCAACCAGAGAGCTTTTCAAAATCCAAATCAAATTCAATTGAAAATCAACTCGTGATACTATTCTGCTAAAAACTTTTCCATAGCTTCCTGCTTCTCAGGATGGGGTTCAAGAGGATCTGAACCCCAGGCCTTCAGGGCTGTGCGATCTGAGCTGACCTGCTTCTGTGGCTTCACCTCTCACCACTCTCCTTGCTCCCCACAATCCAGCCACCGTGGCCACCTCTGTTCCCACCACAGGCCAAGCTCACTCCCACTTCTGAGCCTCTGCACATGGGACCCTGCCACCTCTGACTCAGCCGCCCCTTTATCCACACCCCCACCTTGACCTGTCAAAACTCCTCATACTCCAGAGGTCTCAGCTTCCCCAGAGGAACTTTCCATGCCCCCACCCCCGATTTAGATGAGATCCCCTAAAGTACGAGATTTCATATGGCCCGCTGTTTTTCCTTTATAGCTTTTGTCACAATTATAGCTACACAATTATTTGTGCATTGACTCGCTTGATGTTTAGCATCCCCTGTCCCCACCGGGAATATTATAAGGTCCTGGGAGTAGGCACCAAGTGAATTTTGCCCCTGCCATCTAGCTAGCACCTGGTCCAATATCTAGCATATAGTAGGAGATCAATTACCTATACCTGTGCTGTTTTCCTCCATGCACTGAAAGTACACAGCACATTGCCAAACCGGTTTGGCTCAGTGGATAGAGCATCATCAGTCTGTGGACTGAAGGGTCCCGGGTTTGATTCCGGTCAAGGGCATGTACATTGGTTGTGGGCACATCCCCAGTAGGGGGTGTGCAGGAGGCAGCTGGTCGATGTTTCTCTCTCATCGATGTTTCTAGCTCTCTATCTCTCTCCCTTCCTCTCTGTAAAAAAACAATAAAATATTTAAAAAATAAAAATAAATAATAAAATGGAATCAATTTCAAAAAAGAAAGAAACAAACAAAATGCACAGCACCATTCGGTCCAGTTCAGGGAGGATTCTCAAGTCAAGGCCCAACCACTCGCCAGGTGCCCTTGAATAATAGAAATCAAATCTCACCCCGTTGAAGCTATAGAAAGCCTGTCTGGGGGCCTGGAAAGTCCCTTCGTTACATCACATTTTGACAAGAAAACTTATGGAGAAAACCAACCCATTATTTCTGACTTCATGAAATAATTTCCTGCTGGGTCCGAGGTGACCAATTTCAGACGGGAGGAAAAACAAACAAACGGCCACATGCAGGGCAGAGCGGGAAACACTTCAAATTCCCTGCTCCTGTCAGTGTTCCACTAGTGCGAATCTCTAAGACACAGGGTCCCCTCTCCCGGCCAATAGCATCTCATAAAAGACACCCTCAAAGCTTCCCCAGGGAGGCTAACTGCATGGGGGTGAGGACAAACGGGCCCACGTGACGTGTAATAAAGGCCTTTTATTTTCCCAAGCCCACGTGGGATGAAAGGAGGTTTTTCTCTGCTCTCAAGCCAGACACCACGCTGAAAAGACGACACACTTCTTTCGGCCCTCTGTCTGAAAGCTGTCTTGGTAAAATCACGTCCCGGTTTTGCTCACGCTCTGGACACTGAGAGGAACCGGGGCCAGCTAAGGGCCGGGGCTGGCTGGGCCGTACCCAGACCAGGGGACCTGGGAGAGAACCAAACTCTGGGCATCTCCCTACCCCCCAGCCCGCCCCGCCCCGGGGGCGCAGGGCAGCACTCACCGTCTGTCACGGCACTGCCATTAGGCACGCTTCCCAGATCAACAGTCGGCCCGTCCAGGAAAATGGTCAGCTCGCCGCCCGAGACAACGCCGCCTTTGTTCTCCGTCTGCAGGTTCAGGGTCAGCTGTGTGTTCTCCACTGTCGGACACAAAAGGCAGCGCGGATGGGAGAGAGCAAACGCACCCGGAGCTAAGATGCTGTACGTTACAAGCTCCCGCCCGCCCCCCACGCTGGCTCCCCTGGCATCTTCAAATCTGCCTGGGGCACGGGAAACGGGACGGGAGGGAACGGGGCCGGTGGGGAAGGCTGTCCTCCTCCTTCCCGAAACATTTTAGGTGTTAGGTTAACTGCAGAATTTCTATAGCACTTGTTTGCTTCGACTTTGCAGGACCGTGAGGAAAAACCAGAGATGCTGAAGGCGTACGGAGGAAGAAAGTCGTTCCTTCAAGAAGTATCCCTCTACCCACATGGAGAACAGCGGCAGAGAGAAAAGAAACGGGTCAGAAGGCCCTGGGGGACCATCTCAGGAGTCATCTCTAGATGAACAATTTCAGGAGCTTATGTTTTTTCTTATTTGCATTAAAAAGTATTGTTGTTGTTGTTGTTGATTTTCAACCCTGAAAATGTTTCACTTTGAAACAAGGAAAACTTTTTAATAATAAAAGTGCAATACAAGTGCCCTAACCGGTATGGCTCAGTGGATAGAGCGTCGGCCTGAGGACTCAAGGGTCCCAGGTTCGATTCCGGTCAAGGGCATGTACCTTGGTTGCGGGCACATACCCAGCAGGGAGTGTGCAGGAGGCAGCTGATTGATCTTTCTTACTCTCTATCCCTCTCCCTTCCTCTCTATATTTAAAAAAAAAATCAATAATATATATATATATATATATATATATATTTTTTTTTTTTTTTTAAAGTTCAATACAAGCAAGTCAATCCTATAGTCGCGTGACCCTGGGTTATCCGGGAAGGGGAGACCACTCGGCACCTGGGGTGTGGGAAAGAGATTCTTCTGGGTTGAAAGAAACATAACCCAAATGCAATGCATGAATTCTGACTAACCCTTGGCTTGAAAAAAAAAAAATATATTCCTGGGGAAACCTGCACAAGTCTGGATATTAAATAATGTCTGAAATTACCGTTAATTTCCTCAGGCTTAAGAATGGCACTGTGGTTTTATATAGAAATGTTCTTATTCCCGTGAGACTCCTGAGTAGATTAGAATGATCTCTGCACTTAGTCTTAAATGGTTTTATAGGAGGACAGGCTGAAGTTTTTAAGACTAAAGTGCCATGATATCTGCAAGTTACCTTCAAATGGTTCGGGGGGGGGGGGGGGGGGAAGCACATTCCCACGGGCTCGCACACATTGGTTAAACAAACGTGGCAGACCATTAAAAAGGGTTGGATCTCCGTGGAGGGCATCTGGGTGCTCATTGTGTGTGTTACTCTTTCCATTCTTTCGCCATGTTTGAAAATTTCATAATAAAAAGTCGGGAAAAGGTTTTCATTTAATTGGCAAGGCTATTAAAAAATTAAACCTCTGAGAACAGAACACCCCATTATTCTCTCTTTTTTTAAATAGTAGCTGAGCCAGGGGAGCCCTACAATGCATAATGGGGCTAAAGGAGCCATTAGCTAATTGAGTGACAGACTGGGGCGAGCAGAGGGAGGCTGAAAGGAGCGAGTGTGGCTGGAAAACATATACTGGAATCTGAACTATAAATAGCAGCCGGAGCCACCTCGCCTCGGGCCCCTCGGCTTTCACCGCGGCCACGCGGACAGCTTACAAAGGGCCTTTCTCTCCAAGCAAGTCTTCCCACTGACTGCCTTTGGAGGCACTGCTCAAAAACCAAGGAACTGATGAAATAAACCAGTGGGACAGGCCGATCTCCATAACCAGAATCGGATCTAGGAAGCTCACCAGCTACTCTCAGCCTCGGCGGGCCCTGCTCTGTCTGTGGCCCCGCAGTTCACATGTGTGTCTAGAGCACCTGCTATTCTAGTCACGGAGATTCAACAGGAACAAAACAAAACAAACAAAAAAGAATCTGTGCATCTGGGCTGTTTATTTCTAGTTAGGAGGAACAGGCAATGAGCAATGGTTTTGGTGGCGGTGTTTTTGGTTTTGTTTTGAAGTAAATTGCATAATCTGTTAGGAGGTTACGAAGGTAGCAGGAAAAAATGAAATGAGGCAAGGGATGGAGAGTGCCAGAGGCGGGAGGAGGGTTCGGGGTGGTGAGGAAGTCTCGCTGGGAAGGTGACAACTGAGCAAAGACTTAGAGAAGGATGAGGTTGGGGAAACTGAGCAAAGACTTAGAGAAGGATGAGGTTAGGCACCTAGAAGGAGGATATTCTAGGCAGAAGGAGAAGGAAGCGCAGAGGCCCCAGGTGAGTGAGAGCGTACCCCCAGGTGTGAGGAATGGCAGGGAGGCCGGGGTGGCTAGAGGAGATGAGAGAAGAGAGTAGCAGATGAGGACAGCGGGTAACCAGAGCCCACAAGGAAGGCCTTGGAGCCCTCGCGAGGCCTGTGACGTTGACTCTGTGTGAGATCAGAGCCCACTGGAGCATTCTGAGCAAGGAAGGGTCAGTTTCCCATTACAACAATCACTCTGGCTGCAGGAGCAGCAAGGGCTAAAGCAGACGAGACCAGGCAGGAGGCCGTTATGGTATTCCAAGTGGGATCAGATGGTGGCTTGGGCCAAGGTGATCGCAGTGTCTTCTGGGAACAGGGTGCCTAAGGGAGACTCTACTTTGGCTTCATTCCTAACACTAGTTGAAGGGGACTGATGGCCCCCACGGAGCACATCAGCCAGGCCCCCCAGTCTCTTGGAATCAAAGCTTTGGGAAAATCATGGGCAGGGGCTGAAAAAAAGAGCCAACTTAGAGCATGGATAGAGGAAGTCAGACTCAATTACAACCAAATGGAACATCTATAATGAAAATATTCCGCTGGCAAGAGACGGTAGTTCCACCGAGGAAGCCAAAGTCCTGAGCTCATGCTAACTTGGGTAATCAGCAAGCACACTTCGGTTATGGGAGTGTGCCCTTCTGTTCTAAGTACCCACTGGGAACCAGTACCTTGTAATGCTGCTTTATGGATGTCAAAAGACAGCGGTAGGGCTTGGATATTAGAATCCCAGGGAAACGAATTTGGAAAATCTCAAGGACCATGCCAGGAAATGGCTTTAAAAGCTGCCACACCGAGAGAGACACTAGGTGCTTCCTGATGGAATCACACATCACCTCATCAAAAAGGGGGTTGGGGGAGGAGAGAACTTTACATCAGATCAAGCCTCTATACCTATGAGTTTATAGAAAACACAGAGGGACAGAGGAACGTGCTAACCCACAACTCGGCAAAACCCCAAATGTGGGAAACTATAAGACAAACCATCCAATTTCTCCAACAACAAACTTCAAGGGGTGAGAAGAAGAAAGAAGAAAGAAGAAAGAAGAATTATTAGAATTATTCATCTGCTGAAAGAGCCTTAGGAGACAGTACGCTCTTGTTTGGACTCTGATACCAATAGGCCAATGGTGATACTAAAATAATTGCCATCAAGTTTTTTAGCTAGGAAACTGGCATTACAGCTATGGTTTCTAAGAGCCCTTACGTTTCAGAGATCCCACTAAAATATTAGTAGGCGAAATGCATCTGGGATTCGCATGAAAATAACCATTGGATGAAAGATACCGCCCTCTCCTCTCAGGGCTGTGGAGCTGGGTGGCAGGCACATAGGGGTCCATGGACTATTCTTTCCACTTTTTTTTTAATGCTTGACATTTTCTGTGATAGCTTTCTTTCAACCCAGCACACCCTAGGCACAAACAGAGACTGTAAACTAAAAGTCAGGAATTCAACAATACTTTTACAGTTTAAAATACCAAAAGAGCAGAAAATATACCAGTAAAGATGCTTAGGGAATAACTCCTATTTTTCCTAACTGCAAAGCCTCGGCTTTGCAAGTGGCTTCAGGTTAATAATTTCCTATTGGGAAGAGCTGTTACGTACAAGAAGAATGAGTAATATTTTTTTTAACAGTTACTTTTTCCCTTTCTTGAACTTTTTCATAGCTTTTTTTTTTTCTTTTTTCTTTTTTTGCGTATGGTACTAATAAGTATAGATAAATGGGACATGGAAGCTGCCGGCCTTGTTCCAACACAAGAAGAAACTACGGAAACTACAGCTGCCAAACGGTGCCACTGTGACCGTGCAATTCCGTTACAAAATCCAGAGCTCCCGCCTGGACAGTTTCACCACAGTGAATGCAAGATCCTTCCACTTGAGAATCTTTTGTCATCGCTGTCCCTCCCTGTCCCCCATCCATCACCAAAGGTACATGCACTGTACACACTCATACCTTTTAAAAAATCATTTTTTTTCCTAACTCAAAATATAAATGTAAAGATTTACCTGAAAATTTGCAAAATAAATAAATAAATAAATAAATAAAACAAGACACAAAAGTAGGATACTTTTAAGGGAGACCCCGTTCTCTTGGGTCAGGAGTCTCGGAAGCCTGATGAAGATGTGCTTGATTTGGCCTTAACAGAGCCTCTCAGTGGAACAAACAAACCTCGTTCTTCCTGCCTCCCTCTCCCCTCAATCCCAGAGGCCCATCAAAAAAAAAAAAAAAAAAAAAAGGGAAAAGAAGCAGGGCATTCATTAACAGGTCAGTGTTCGCGCTACACGTAGCTGTGAAACACTGGCGCACAGAGGAGCCGAAGGGAGGAAATTCCAGAAGGGCAGAGAGTAAACAGTCTCTTTTCCATTCCCTGGTTCCCCATAACTCAGACACACACAGGCTCAAGTCTACTCCAGGTTTAAAAGAGAACGTTCTTTCACGTCCCCCTTTGCAGTAAAGGAAGCCAAAGGCTTCCAGGATTTACCGTTACGATGTCTCTTTGGCTTCCAACCTTACCCAGATCCTAACAAGAGAAAGTCTTTTCTACCAAGCTGGGATCAGGTCATAAACACTGGAATGCTTGTTGGGGACCAATGTTGACTCTGCTTCAGACTGCTCCCCTGTGCCCCGATCACTCGAAGGGTCCCCCGCCCTCTGAACACCGAGGGTAAGGAAGAGTCTACCTTTGTCTCTTCTGTGGCAAGGCTTCTGCTGGGGGTTCACCCTTAAT